GGTAGGTAAATTTTTGCTATGAACTTGTGGTTGAATTAACGGTGATAATAACGGACGACTCATGCGTCGCTGCTCCTCATCCATCATCTTTAAATTATTTAAATGCGTAATAATGGCGTAGTAAAGATCGTTAAAATCGTTACGAATCTTAATCTGTTCCTCCTTGTTAAATGTTTTTAATTTCATGTAGGTTTTTTCAATTTTGGACTGTATTTTATTAAATTTACGTTGATGAGAATTTAAATCTGTAGTTCGCGAGCGAAATTGTTGAACATCTGTCGCTGCGAACTGGAGAGTGCGTTTTAAATCATCAAGGATGAGTTCCCTTTCGAACAAATCTTGTTCACACGGCGATTCTTCGACAGACATTTTGCGTAACAAAGATGGCTGATTCGAATTTGTCGTATTTGAAATTAAGTTGTAGAAAGTACGTAATACTGTAAAACAACACAATTGGAAGATATCAATCCGGTTCGAACGGATCAAAGAAATTTATGTATATAAAAGCCGGGGTTCGGCGACTTACCGCAAACGCTCCTTACACCGCCACGGGTACCTAGGGATAGGCTTCAGAACGGGGTTCGTCAACGCTCTTGGGAAACTATTGCCGGCAATGTATCGCACATAGGAGTCCACAGGTCAGAAGGTTCACGATATCTTCCAGAGAAAATGGGTACTCTCACTTGATGTAACGGAAATTCGTTTAGAGCTGTTGATAGCTGCTTACACGTCGGGGACTCGAAGTGAACTACTCGCACATTGGTGCCGGCGTCGGCCGTAAAGTCGTACCAACACACAAGGCACAGTGGTAGGCTCAGAACGAAAATACGGTTTGTCACCTACCCCATACATAAATAAAAAAAAGAAAAAAATACAATCTTCCAATATGTGTTGTTTTATTAAAAAATCTGTTACGCTACGGAACACCACCTAAACAATTTACTTCATCACGGCGCCGGCGCCTTGTCATTAAATTATGTACCCCCCCCCCCCCCCCCCCCCCGCCAATATATTTGAAGACTCTATTTAGGAAAACAAAAAAAAATGCATGCGGAACCCAAAGTGTATTTTTTCAAAAAGTGCTAAATTCGGCTGTTTGCCTGGTGTTTTCAGACTAAATGGTAGCAGATGTGTCTAATTAGACATAATCATGCAATTCGACGTTGAATACGATTAGTATGCCATTGATTTAAAGGTAATTATGTAATAAGCTAACTTAATATTACTAACAATTAATTGGAATAAAATAAAAAAATACATTATCAACAAGCAAAAAAAGTTTTAAATCTGTAACCCGACTACGGAAAAAAAGTAGAGAGAGGAATGAAATCGATTAAAATTGTGACTTACGACGACGAAGCCAAAAGGAAGGGATATTATTTTACCATTCTATGTACATACATACAGGCGAAGGATCATACTTAAATACATACATAACTGTATGTGTAAATTTACGTATTAAAACGTAGCGCTTAACGATTTCATCTTATTTTAATTAACAAGGTGTCTATTGATTCTTTACAATGACCTGGACAACACAAGCTTTTTAACAGACTTTAATAAATAGGAGGAGTCTTGTAATTGATCATTCCTTTCTTTTTTGATTTTTTTCTGTGGTGGGGTTCACTTTTATAAACTTTTTTTTACTTGTTACACCTGTTATGAAAGCGAAGCGAAGGTACAAATGTTTAGCAAATTCAACAAGTCTGAAAATTTATAATCTATGATTTTAATGACAATTTTGGGTTGAATGACATTAGCGGCTGATTACTAGAGATGGAACATTTTAATTATGATTTTTTTTTTTTGAGTTATTTTGAAACACCGTGTATAATATGATTCCAACTACTAAAATCACTTTTCCAGAGTGCTGGACACTTACCGGCATTTTGCTATATTCTGTTATTAATTTAATTTCATTGTATTTCTCCGATTTTATTAATTTTTAGGTATATTTTTTTTATTTATTTTCTTGACATAGTAAACGTCTGCATGTTTTTATCCGTTGCCATAGTTACCCATGACACGGATACTCTCTCCAACTAGCTCTATGCCTATTCAACCTCCGCAGACCACCTACTTTGATTCTTTTTAGTTAGATTCGAATCGTGTCTAAATTTAAATGGTTCCAGACCTAAAAAAGGCCGAGCCACCCTGATCTTTTATTAATTTCTTCGGCAAAAGTTGCCATAATAACTTTTGTTAGCTCGCTACCGAGCTTTAAATTAATAAAAGGTCTTGCCCCGAGATTCCAGCAAAGACCTCAAAGCTATACAGCACCTTTTGGCTCTCTAAACTTTACTCGTCCTCTTCACTATATTTTCAACCTCATCGGCGGGAGTGCCGCCGGTCTCCAGCTTCATCGTCCGTCTACCAGCTGCGCCTGTCGTCCATCAGCAGCTCCAGCCTTTCTAACTCGGTACCGGCCGATACTACCACTTCGCCGGCCAACCTACCAGCAGCGCCTGAATTGCCAAGAATTGGGAGACGCCTCACCAGGAGCGCTTCTGCCTTCAAGGAGCGCCGTCCATTTGCCTGTACAACGGCCTCCCGCTCAAGCCGCCTCTGAAGATCGCCGACGACCCATGCCCACTTCACACAGTCACACCGTACCCCTATTTTTTTATATTGTTGTTCTGTAAATACTTTATTCTTGTAAATATATATATTCTATACTGTTCTCCTGATTTTCCTTTACCCATTCTAATTATTTTGTCGCAACACGACAACCTGAGGGATAGGATACAGAGGGTTGACATAAATGGCAATAAGTCTCCGGGTTCGCCGGTTAAGATGGGTGTTACGCAGGGCGCAATCCTTGGTCCTTTCGTATTTTTAATTTATATTAATGACTTACCTTACTATGTAAGAGGTAACCATGAGATAGTATTTTTCGAGGATGATGCATCACTTTTATTTAAACTCCAACGCTAGGAAACAGTTATTGACAACGTGAACAGTTGTATCTCTAAGGTAGTCCACTGGTCCAATATTAATAATTTATTAATTAATATAGGAAAAACTATATGTATGAAATTTGTATTACCTAATGAAAAACAGGTAAAAACCCAGTGTGAATGTAAAGGATAGGAATGTGGGCTTTGTAGACACCACAGTATTCTTAGGGATTACTTTAGATTCTAAGCTTCAATGTGGCCCACATATTGATAAATTGTCAAATAGACTTAGCTCTGCAGCAAGTGCCGTAATGAAGATACGCCCGTTAACGGATGTAGATACGGCCAGATTAGTGTACTTTAGTTATGTCCATAGTGTAATGTCATACGGAATTTTATTGTGGGTAAAGGCCGCCGACATTCAAACTATTTTTGTGCTGCAGAAGAGAGCTATTCGATCAATTTATAATCTTAAAGTTAAAGAATCGTTAAGAGATAAGTTTAAAGAATTTGGAATAATGACGGTCGCATCACAATACATATACGAAAATTTATTACTTGTAAGAAAAAATATTAATTTGTTTCTTAAAAACAGTGATATTCACACACTTAATACAAGAAACAAAATTAAAAATTCATTTAAAGGTCTTTGTGATCGCTTATACAATAAAGTCCCAAGCAATATCCAAGAGTTAACCATAAATAAATTTAAAATAGTATAAATAAGCACTTATTAAAAAAAGCTTATTACAAATTGTCTGATTACAGACAAAAATGCATGGGTTTGAACTATTCCAAGCATTCCCACAGATTTTCTATATTAAATAAATCATGATTGTATTGACGTTGTAACACGATGATTTGTAAATGTTGTTATATTACATTAAACTTTTAATGTTGTGAAGCTTTTTCGCTCGTTTTTCTCCGCAGCTAAAAATATGTCCAATAAAACGAATGGTAATTTTTGGACGATTCAAAAGAGTTGTACTATACACCCAATTTGAATAACGATATATTAATTTCTGAATAGCACGCTATTAAATAAGCTATGCTAATAGTGCGTTATTTACTTGGAAGCTTTTGGCGGTCCGTTGGCGCGTTAAACCTCGCAGCATGCTAGATCTCGTTGTATTTTATTATTTAGAGCGTCGCGATCTCGCGGGACCCGGCTTGGTCCCGGGTCCGATCCCCGGTCTGGTCAACTTAGAAAATTAATTATTTATTTCCGCAGGTCTAGCTGATTGTTGTATCGTCATCTTTTCCGATTTCCTTGATACAGAAGCTTTAGCTAACTAATTTTGAATATTAACTATGTATGTGATGTTTTACAATATTTATTTATTTTCAATTCAATTACAGCCTTTTTGGGAAGTACGGCTGCAGACGACGGTTACAGATATGTGCCCACTGCAGTGTACCAAAGATTAATTTGGGTCAACTTACAAAAGGAAGGGGCTGCATTACGTATTAAATGAAAAAGTTATGTGTTAGACGAAAGAAAACAATCCATAACATGCGTATTTCCAGTTTATATTATAATTTTATTACATATCTAATGAGTCCAATGTTTGCTTATTCTAGTTAACAATCGCATATTAATATATTTATAATAACTTTGTAAAGATAGTTCCAAAGACATTATAGAAAAAATAAATTAGGAAATTGTTTGAGTTGTCCTTTGAATATTTTAACATGTCAATATTTCGATATAGGTAGATCTTTTAACTAGAATACCTGGTAGAAACTAAAATAAATAATTACTATACACATTAATGAAAATCGAGATTATTATTTTTGGTGGGAGTAAATATAGTTCTTAATATACTAACTAATGAATGAGTATTCGTTTTACAGCTAACACAGAGATGATAACGTTAATAACGTTAACGGCATGATGGTATTCTGACTTTGTTTTAGTCAAAACCCTACCCTACTACGTGGAGACCAACAAAAAAGTAACATAAAAATAAGGGTAAATTACTGTTTGTAATCACTATCATCTATGTAAGTTTCAGATCCTGGTTACAAGTCGACAATTTGAAGCGATGTTCCATTCGAGGTTTTTTACAATAAGCGTAACAATATTTTACGTGATTCAGTAAAATGTTTATGTTGGAACATAAACATTTTACTGAATCACGTAAAATATTGTTACTCTCAAAATACACAAAGAGATAATAAAGTTATAGTATGTAGTATGTCAAATAGAGGAAAATTATACGGAATCGTAATTTTGTAATAGTATAACGTAGTATCGCTTACGTAGATTTTGCAATATTTTTTCTTTTTCTTTAGAAACGAGTGGCAAAGGCAAATCAAGGAAAACATATCCTTTTTCATGTGGTCATTTTTCGGATCACACGGTCCATTGCCGAGTTTAATTACTAGAACATTTGTATTTGTAAGAAGACTTTTTTACCGTAAGCTGAGATTGCAAAACAGCTTAAAATTGTCAACTCATTTTTTAAGTCGATTACCCTTTAATTTAATTTGAAACTGAAACAAAAGTTAAAAAAAAAGTTAGTTAAAGTTTATTGAAAGGATGTTAGAATGAAAATAACTTTATCCGATAGATTTACATATTCTGAAATCGCCTAATACATATAAAGGGTGCTTTTAATAACAATTGCTAGTGCACCATAAAGCACAGCCAACGGCACGCACATTCACCCACTTATATAAGCACATCATTAAACAACTTAAAGGAAATGTTTACAATACCTAACAATCAGGTACACATATTTAAGCAAACATGATTTTCATGAAAAAACAAATTTAATCATTATTATATAATAGTGCACCTAAAATCCTAGCTTCCGATATTTCATGAACATAGCATCGAGTTATCGAACACAAACCTTAAATTATTTAAAGCAAAGATCAAATTTGATTGTTAGTATTTTAAACTGCGAAAATCGATGGGCTGTTGACCATACAGTATTCCAAGATGTGACAGAACTAAATTGCTGTAAGAAATCAGAGAAATCTAAACAGCTTTTTAAAGTATTTAGACTGTCAATAGTAGAGATCAAACGGTGTGCAAATATACCGCTAGATATAGAAAATGATTTTCAATAAAGTATATTAAAAAGTAAAAGCTCTTAATTTTTTAAAAAACCTTATTTTTCCTTTGTTAAAAAAAGTGATTCTTTATCAAAGGCCGTTTGTATCGCGCGCTATTATTTCTACATCATGTAGTAAAGATCGCCCAAATGCCAGCACGTCATTGACTTTAGATGCAAATCGATACTAATATTATGAACGAGAAAATGTGTTTGTCTGTTACCCCTTCACGCTTAAACAGCTGAACCTATGGTAAAGAGGTGGTTTGAGTCCTGGGATAGATTTTATCTCGGTCGGTTGTCTGTGCTACCCGCGCTTTCTCAGTACGCTGCACACACGGTCGAGTTATTCCCGAAAAGCGGGATTGAGTCTGTTCCGCGCGGTACATTAAATTTTGATTTAAAAATCGGGACGTCCCGCCAAAATTGAGACGTTTGGCAACGCTGGTTTGGGGGGGGGGGGGGGGGGGGGGACGAGAACGGGGACCGTGAGAGGTGCGGGCACTTGTAATTTTGACAAGAATGTGCCTGCCGCCCGCAACTCTCACGGTCCCCGTTTTCGTCCTCCTCCACACCCTGTACCCCGCAGGCGAGGACTCAGTTAAGCGGTCTACTTATACCTGTAGTAGATTCGATTTCAAATAAGATTCACAATTTTGTGATATTTTTATTCATTATGTAATAGCGAATGCCCGCGACTTTAGCTGTGTGGTAATTGATTTGAACCCTGAACCATCTGTGCGTGAACAGACCTTGAATTACTCCTTTTTATTAGTAACAGTTATATCAACTAAATCGTAAGCTGCATATCGATTGCTTCCGTATTGGCAGTCACGTTGTAATTTCAAGTGGAGTTACTCTTATTGATATTTCCGACGAAAATGATTTGAGCAGTTTAGTCCTTATTTCTTTTCTATTGTAGCTAAGTTACATCTCAATAATATTAGGAATACATTTTTTTATTTACTCATTATCCATATTTTCCTGTCATTTCCTTTAGGTATGGATGGAATGTGCAAACTTTGGCACTTAAATTTGCATAAATTAACTATAGAATACAAATGAAGGTGATTTATGAGTACATAGTTATCAGTACAACGCAATAATGAGATCAATCTTATTAAGCAAAATAAACAATATGCATATTCATGTATTCCACTACTAAATGTAAGTACTATTTAACAAAGAAGCTTCGATAGACTATCAATACAAAAACTTTCAGTCAAAGTTTAAAAATATAAAACGGAATGCCTCTCATAGAGTATCAAATATAAAGAGAAAGTTATCTTTTGGAGAAAATCCCTGTAAGATTATAATACATATATTATTTAACAATTTGATTATTCTATTGTCATGGCCGTATCTTACCTATGCACGTAGATCTATTTAATGATAACGTTTGAGTTCAGGAAAAACCTCCAGTAAAAATAATTCGAAGAGTTCCTGAAACAACAAAAAAACAATATCTTTTAAATCTATGCATAGCTGAAACAAATTTTGATAAGAAAATAGACAAGAAAGCATGTAACGAATAGGGAAGATGCAATATTTTTATTTTTGTTTTCATTTTAAAGAATTCCATGTAGAATAAACCACAGATATATTAAAAAATAAAAACATTGTGATTTATCGGAAAAAATGCGGTTTTAAATTGACAATTTAAATTTTCGCGCGAAAACGAACCTATGGTTGCGATGACGTCACTCCTAGGGTTGCAACGATATATCGGAATATCGATAATATCGAGACCAATATATCGATATTTATTTCGATATTTAAAATTCACTGATATCGATAATATCGATATCGGAAATTCCAAAATATCGATATTTCGTAGAGTAAATTTAAACACAATATCAATTAATTTACCTGCTATAACTATCTAAATTAAATAATATCGAAATAACTATTGCTTTGAAATCTCAAGAGCTTATAGATGTATTAAAAAAATCTTGAACCCCAAGAAATATACTAAACTGGTGTGGATAATGGCATGATTCTCTCAACCTAAAATTAAATTTGACAACAGTGTATCCTTGTCATTCTCTATACAGAATGACAAGGAGAGACTGATGTTAAATTTAGTTTTAAGTTTAGATAATCATGCCAGAATCGACACCAACGTATATAGGTATAATCGTATACCTAATGGTAATTCATGCACTTAAATAAAATCTTGCCTCTCTTTCTAGATAATTGTCAACTACTGATTAATTGAAATTAAATATCATTGTAATATAACACAAAATAAAATTAAGAATCTTATACAAATCGTAAATTTTTAAGCTTGCCAAGTCAAGAAAGTAAGATAGGTATAGTAATTTTTGAAGCCTTGGGTTTACCCTATTTTGAAGCCATGGGCACGCCCCTGATGTGTGGGAGACTAAGCAATTTGCGTATTTGATGTGCGCTAAAAAACCGACATAGCTTGGAAAAGCACGAATGTAGTGAAAACTTAGCGAAGGCATTCGCAAATGTCGTCCCACATATGCGGGTTGGCGCATTCGTGCTAACGAATGTGAGTGATCTGATCAGGATAATAATTTTAATTTTTTGGTTTCCTGTCGTGGCTGGAACACAAACCGTGAGAGCCAAAAAAATCCTGCTTTGCGCGATTTCATCAAGCGTGTTTAAAGAAAAAGCTGGCTCAATGCATTTTGCGAGAAACTCGCCAACAAACATATGAATGTGTCACACTCACCCCGTGTTCTAATGTAAATAAAAAAAAGTAAAAAATATCGATATATCGATAATATCGAGTTAAAATGGTCGATATATCGGATATCGATATTTTCCTGACTTCGATATAAATATCGATATAATATCGATATTTCAAAAGACTTTGCATCCCTAGTCACTCCTATCTGTCACTGGTCGTAATTGTTCGTTGCTGGCTTTAAATTTTCATACTTTTGCATATTTTTTCGACTTTCGAAATATTTTTTTGAAAAATTTAAAATGGACTATCCATCAACATCGTGTGATCATAACAATACCACTAATATTCCGAAAAAAAGCCGTGTTGACTCATGTTTTGTGCCAATCTACTTCAACAAAGTTCCCATATAAATTGTTTTTGACTGGAACTTCTGACCCAAAACTGAAAAAAAGTGGTTTCAAGCTGCGAAGAGAAATGACAATTATTCTCCAAAGATCATTATTCGATGCTGAGAAGATCACTTTGACGTAAGTTGCGAATATACTTGTTATATGCTTAATTAATCTGCTTGTACGTAAAAACGCATTAGTAACCTACCTAATACTTACAAAACCTGTCTATAACATATTTTTAATTTTACAGTTGGAGAATGACGCCGAAAATTAGATAAAGTTTAAAATGTGTGGCACAATCTTCACATTGGCAGGACTGAACCAAGCTTTGCGTTTCATTTAAAATAACTGTAACACGATAACCTTCTTTATGTACTTTATGCTCCGGAGAACTCGACCTTTTACTGTACATAATTTTCCATCTCTTTTAATTTGGACATAGCCGATTGCATTATCGCCGTAAGATTTGTAGAAGCCGCTGAATAAAATACGAAGTTTAACAACTACGATTTTTACATACCGTAGAAATATAGTCCCTTTCATTTCTACACTTAAAAACTATGCACTTTGGACAAAAAAAGTTATAATCATGTCAACGCTAAATCTTGGTAAATTCCTGGAGTCTGCTTTGATAAACGCAACTTCCATTTTTATTAAATGTAAAAAAACGCAATAAATATTCCCATAAAATAATATTTACTTTAACAACCATAACCTCAAAGAAGTTGTCATAACAGGAGTGACGTCACTAAACGCTGATTGGTGTTTTAAAATACGTTCCGTTTCAAGTATTTTTAATTCGTAATAATTGTTAAAAAACAACATTATGTAAAATAAAAACGTTGCAGTGGCATTTCTTTTATATTTTTTTAACATTTTAATAAATCATAAAATTTTCATAAATATTATATATGCATCTTCCCTATTTGATTTGACTATTTAGTTCCCTAACAAAATAGAAAAGTTCGCTTTTTATAGTTTCTATTCGAAGTCCAATTTTTACGAATAGAAAATATAGAACCACCCCGCCATTAGCTCGATTACTTATTTAGTCTTACTCAATAGCCGTGTCCAGACCGATCGAGCACGGCAGAAATTGACTCGCGAGCAAGCCTCGCGAGCTAATGCCTCGGCCTGTGTAGACGCTGCTCGGGCACACCGCCTCGAGCGCCGCTCGACCTCGAGCCATAATTTGTCGGTTTTTGCCGATGCTCAAAGGTGCCTCAGTCTGAGCAGATCGCGCGGTGTAGACGTATCGACGCTCACGAGCGAGTGAATTAAAAACGGATAAAGAAGACAGTATTCGCTTTATACAACGGATTTTTTGAAATATTGTGATTCGAAAGATCCAGATTATTTAAATAAAAACAAACGGGAAGATTGCTGGAGAAAGATTTTTAATCCCATTTTCGTTTCTGTTTACTATTATATGAGGAGTCTACTTTCAAAACCCGCTAAAACGGTTTTGGACTATAAAATAGTTAAGTCTTCCAAAATATTTCTGAATATTTATTATTCATATCCACGAAATATTTTGCTGCAAAATCCGCTTAATTCTATAAAAAAACAGTGATCTAAAATTCGTATTCGTTGCAAACTCCACTATAATCCACCAAAAATGCACGGACGAATCACAGCACAGGATTCAAATCACGTGAACAACTTTGTTATGTCCGTTAAAAGGTGTTGTGCAGAATGGTGCGATGATGGATGAAGGCGTAGGATCCAACACAGTACATGGCACCAATTAATAAAATTGTCTTGTTTTACAACATTGAAGTTTGCAAAGCTAGGGGGCATATTCTATATGTTTCTTCATGTGTTGTGAAAATATTATTTCTTCAAAAATTATCAAACGCACATGCATTAATTATGTTGCTTCATAAAAAAGTAGTTGATGAAGAAAATATGTGTGAGCATTATGGGGAAGAAGTTAATTTGCAAGTTTAAATGTACCTATGATTTTTTAAAAATTAATGTTTGATAAAAAAATTCCTTATTACGGGTTTGTACTAGATAGTACCAAAAAAATATTTTGACAAACCTTAACTTTAACATTGACATAAGAATATCTACACAGTGGATTATTTTAATTCATGCATGTAGGATAAAACCATCCATACCTCAAAATCTATTCAAATCAAAACCCGCCAAAATTTATAATAGTCGTTGCAAATCCCGTTATAATCAAAAAACCCACTAAAAACAAAATTCTTTTAGCACTTTATCCGTTAAAAACCGTGTTTTCCTTGGTAAATCATGTCAAAAGTGTTTATAAAGCCCAAATTAAAAATGTACGATGCTTACTTTAATTGAACTGACCTTTTATTTAAAATGAGGAGTTTTTTTTTGCTAGCTTATATATTCCGAAAAAGATTTTAGTGGATTTTGAAAGTAGACTCCTCATATCCAGATTACATAAGCGCCGTGGAAGCTAATAAGGGCAAGCGCATATATACAACTTTTGCATCGACTAAACTGTTTTGTCGCGTTTTGTAGTTCTCGTGATTTCCACACATCTAAACTGTTTAGTTGATGGAGGTACGCATACAATTGATGAAGTCGATCATCGTTTTTTTTTTCTCAATTCTACCAGTCTTTATTTAGGAACGCTCGAGTCTAGGTGTTACACACAATGTCAATTTACAAGAAAGTTCTAATTTGTGCTTTGCTTTATAGAAAATTCAAAAGAGAAAAAACAAATACTATATAATTATACCTAAGAAATCTTACAGGTGGTGTCCGCCAGTACTTCACGTCTTATTTTATTTCTCCTCAAGGCTCTGTACCATGGCTATACAACATAATCATACAACTAACATAACTTTTATTTATTTATTTATTAACATACTAGTGGCCGCCCGCGACTTCGTCCGTGTTTGATTTAGTTTTTTGGTTATCCCCCGGGAACCTAATATTTTTCGGGGATATAAAGTATCCTATGTCTCATTCCATATGTGTACCAAATTTCATCCGAATCCGATCAGTAGCTTTTGCGAAAAAGAATAACAAACATTCACACATCCATACAAACTTTCGCATTTATAATATCATTATATATATTTAAAGTAGGATATGAACCTGAAGAACAAAAATTACCTAGTTTTCTTTTATTTTCTGGAACTAGTTCCAACCATCCAGATACGACTTCCATGCATACTTCCTCCCGCAGCTTTTTCTTCAGACTTATGTCTTACTAATCTTTCAGACTCTATCCCCCTTTTTAATAAACGAGGAATAAGCTTAGACTAGTTACGCCGTGTTTTGTTCATATCACTCAATAATCATTTGTAATTTAATGAAGAGGGACAAAACATGGAGTAACTAATCCAAGATAATTCTTTGTTTATTAATGAGGGGGCTTAAGTAAAGTCCAGGTACACTATTAATGAACTCCTCCGTGTCATCCGTAATAGTTTCCGCAAAGCCCGCCATGGTGACAAGAGACGTGAAGCCCCTCCAAATACTTATGCGAGACTGACAGTCGTGGATCGACTGTTTAGTCGCTGGTATGTGCATATCAATACAATGAAATACAAATTGAGCATTTGATCGATAGCTGTCCAACTTTTTAATCAAAAGCAGATCGATACAGCTTTTTGACTTTTTTGTTGAGCAACTATCGAGTTGATAGTATGCGCGCTTCAATATATTGCTATATACATACGATACACAACAAAATAGTTGTTCAACTAAAAATTGTATATATGCGCTAGCCCTAACACGTGGTTTTCCATCGTTATACGGCGAGAAACGGAATGCTCAAACCGGCTCACCTTGGATCGCGAGGCACACTCGCAACTTTTCAAATTCGCCTCGGAAGCCACGGCTTGCGAGCAGGAAGCCCGAGCATGGCTCGCGAACCGTTATTTTCGTCACAACTTACAAAGTACCTACATTAAAAATTGGTGTTTTCAGTATTTGTTGTTTAGATACAGCATATGGGGTATAAGATGTCAAAATTTCAGAAAAACAGATAGGCATAATCATGATCATGCACTTCGCGCGATCGATCGATTGCCTAAACCCCCCCCCCCCCCCCGAGCCCCTCAGTCGCTGTTCACGTGGTAGGCAAACAGGCCGTTCGGCCTGTTGTTTTCTCTTTTTACCGCGCTCAGTATAGCAGAGACAGCGCTCCTTGTTCGTCGCGTATATAAATAGGCTGCTCGTAATATTATTCATCATTATGTCACAAGACTTGAAACGCTCTTATACTTCATTACATAGTAGTGACAGTGAAACTGAAAATGAAGACTCCGATCAGTTCACCGGTTGCAGGGACATCACACGGACGCGGGAAAAATTGATCGGTGACTTTTCAACAACAGGCGTCACCAAACAATTCGACGGACGACGATACAGATGTAGAAGAAATTCAACCGAATTCTCCTCGATCGGAATTAAGCGAATACCTGAAAATGAATACACCAAAGTCACAAACTGGGGAGCAAGCACTTCGAAACACAATTCAATTGGTGGAAAACGAACAGAAGATGAATATAGGCGAATGCACTCAAGCGATGGTGGAAGATATGGAAGAGAAAATAGACCAGGAAATAAAGAAGAAAAAGAGGAAGATAGTCAAAAAAGCAACTCCAGACAAAGTTTAGAAGAAAAGGAAACCCTTGGAAACTCTCCCGGAACCAGCGCAGCGCCGGAGAGTTTCTTAGGTACTTTGGAATTGATGTGGACAACAGACATATACAACAAAATCATGAAGGCTCTGAAAATGTGCGAACAAAAGGGAATGGAACTAAAGAATTTACTTTTAAAAAGGGAATTTATGAAATTGATTTCGTTGTGGAAGACGATATTGAAATCGATTATACACAAACTGAGAGAGACAAAGTGCGAGGGTTTATCATGGAATGCTTTCAGAACTATCCTCCACGAAACCGAATTATACACGTCGTGTTTACAATTCAAAATGACAGATATAGCAATAGAACTATTTCATCAATTTGTGAATCAAGAAGCACATACAAAGGAAGCATCTTCTGGGTTACTAATCACGCCGACGACCACCTCCACGTCGTGCACGACTGTTCCTATGCGGGAAACAGTTGCCGTTGCCAACGAATCAAAGATATCAGAGCCGAATGTGGAGAGCCCCGATTTAATCGCCGAATTATTCGGAATACCGAATGCACAGCGGAACACTGGATCAATCTCGCAGTCTATTTCGAAAGCGATCAACGGCGTGCAATACACTTTGAAATCGCCGGGCGAATATGGACAAAGTGTCATAAAACTAGAAACTTATCCGTTCGCCAAAATAGCCAACTTAGACAAGAAACATTGGTGGAAACATGCAGAAACCAAGATGATATTCTTAACAGCTTCCAATGTGGATCCGACTCAAATAACTGTGAACAAGTTAATAAGTCAAGTGACGAAAAATGTGACAACAATTCCAAACGTGTCAAAAGAGCAAAAGGAGATCAGTTATTGGAATTCTTTTGGAGATTTCCAACGGCGCCAGTAAATAATATTTTTAATAATAGAGTGTGGTTCCAGTCCAAATGGAAATACTTACTTTTGAATCACAATCACATTCGTGCTGTGCAACGTATATATCAGAGAGAACTATGTGATATGAGTTTAAGTGAATTTATAAATAAGTTTAAAAATAGTGAAATGTTTTTTTTTAATTGTGGAGTTCGTGATATAAATGACTACTATTATAGTGCCGAACAATCTTTACGCATTGCAGTAGATTTATTAAATTTTCAATTTCAAAACGATGATGATAGGGTTAGAGATTTTTTAAAATCATTATATAATATAGTAGATAAGATAGTTCCTAAGAAAAATTGTTTATTCATATTATCTCCACCAAATGCAGGTAAAAATTATTTCTTTGATGCTATAATTCATTACTTTTTAAACTTTGGACAAATAGGAAATTTTAATAAGTACAATAACTTTCCTCTGATGGAGTGTGTTAACAGAAGAATCATTTTATGGAACGAACCTCATTGCGAGTCATCAGAATTCGAAACTATTAAAATGTTATTTGGTGGAGATACCCTTAATGTAAAAGTTAAATTTTTAGATGATGCTATAGTAAATAGGACACCTTGTATTATATTAAGCAACAACGATATATTTCCCAAAGACTTAGCATTTAGAACTAGAATGTATTCATATGTGTGGAGAAGTTGTCCTGTTTTGAAATCATGTAAGAAAAAATTGTATCCTTTATTTTTACCATTATTGTTAAGAATGTATAATATTATAGACGAAAAGGGGTGTCATATAAGTGAAAATGAAACTTCAGATTGTGAAAGTGAATAAAAATATATTTTTTACATTTTACCAATTTTTTTACTTATCCTAGACACAGAAGAATCAGACACAATTTCAAAGTCATCTTCGTCATCATCCTGAGTTATATTATATGTAAAACTAGTTTTTACGGGTTAATGCACGAAACTTTATTTATTATTGACGTTTCGCAGCCTTTTCAGGTCTGCATCGTCAGAATAATGATATTTTATTTAAAATTGTCGAGGTACCTTCGAAAGACTTATATTGAGCGTTCGGTTATTTCATTGGAAGATTTCTAAAATATTAATAATAAGTCAATAAATAAATAAAGTTTCGTGCATTAACCCGTAAAAACTAGTTTTATTTAATGAGTGATGTGCGTGAAAACCTAAGAAACATTATATTATATGGTTTTTTCTTAATGGTCGAAGATGATTGTTTCACACGCTGGCTTGTACGATATGCAGGTGAATCGAAATCCGAAGGTTTTTTATAAATAATATGTTTATTAGTATGAGGTGACTTGGTCAAATCCAATCCTGTAATTTTACATATGTCTGGTTCTTTCTCTAAACCATTTATGGATTTCACACTACGTTCTACATTCTGTTCAACTCCAGCAAATGTCTCGGCAGTTGTATAATTTTGATCATGTACATAACCAAATACAACTTTCTGTGGCATAGAAGCAAGTGGTCCGTAAGTATAAAAACTATGTAAATCTAACGATACGTCCATTTCATATTCACATAACCAATATACCATTGTCGTTTGAAAATTTTCAAATTCTGTCGCAGGATTAATTTGAGGAATAGCTCCAACACCAACATGTAATTGTGGCTATGGTATCATAGTCTCATTATACAATGGATTCCTTGGATTGAATATAGCACTGTGTTCAACAGTACTACCATATTTAGCAGGAATTTGATCGGCCAGTCCAGTTCCAAACATATCACTTTTATTACCTAAAGTACCAAATTTATCAGATGTAACACCAGTCTTTGTGAATTGACGATTAGATATAAAGGCAGCATTGTTCATAGATATGTTATGACCATGATAAGCTTTCGGGGTCACATGCACTGCATTTGGAGAAAGATAACCATTCTTAGGATTATACTTATAATGCGCTATTGTCTTTCCAACAACTGTGTTTATCAAGAAGCGGTCAGATATACAATCTAAGCTTACGTTACCCATTCCATGAACTGCATTAGTATCATCACGTAACCACCAATAGATGGAATTTTTTCTTGGTACACCATTAGCTTGACAAGGCACATCTAAATACATTTTTTAATGCTTTCCTGCATATTCGGTGCTAATATTTCAGATGGTATCATAGGTTTATCTGCAGTCGAGTTGTATGATACATTAGTACCGTAAGTAGACACATTTAAATTTGTTGCAACATAACCAATAGGTACATGTTCTGTATTGGCGTTACCTGATAAAGTCTCCCCTACTCCAAAAGTAGTACGTGTACCTAATACAGTTATTTTACAACGAACTTCAACAGCTTTAGCGACTCTAGGTAAATTCTCTAGTAGACTCTAGCTTCAGTTAAATATGATGGTATAAAGTCAACCAAACAATTCATGAATGGAGTAGATATACCGTCATCTGTGTCACCATACTTAATAGCTTTCATAGCGTATCCATACGAGTTCCATATTCTACATTTTCTAAATTTATATATCTGTGCCTTCGGCATAATACTGCGAGGAATCCGTATCTATCGATCAGAATGCGCTGCAGCTGAACCCACAGCATTACTGCTTCCAGAATTTTGAGGAGCACTGACCGGTATGTTAGGAGCAATATTACCAACGTCAATATCCATAGCGTTAAGAAAATTATCGTCGATGTCCGGGAACTCGTCGGCAATGTTGGGACCACCGACACTGGTAGGTGTGTCGTGTGATACGGCACCTCCGTCGGATCGATTAGTATCGGGGGCAGCGTCAGCTCTGGAACTTGGTCCAGGTTCTTCAGTCCGATTAATGGATCCAGGATTCTCAACAGGATCACTAGCAAAACGCACTTTTTTACTAATACTAAATTGACGTCTGATCTCTTTCGCGGCGTCACTTCTAATGAACTCGTTCCACGTACCTGAATCATGACCATGCGCCTGCTTATGAGCTTTCCACGCTTTACTTAATTCTTTTTGAATATTTGTGTATGCTTCCTGACCTGCGTGCTCTCTCTTCGGCATGTTGGGATAAACTACTCCTCCATATATATACTTCTCAAACAAGTGCTTTATTGTTAAACCTGATGCACCTACAAAAGCATTTATATTATGTGCTTCCATGAAATCTTTACTAAATTCTTTTATGGCTGTTTCGTCCGCTATGTAAATATTTTCATCTTTTTGACTTGTCCAATATAAAGCGTCATGTTTAGCGGCGATCCAATCAGCTTCATCTACTGGATCTCCTTGTAATTTGTTACCGGGACCTAAATATTTATATCCTGGTAAAGTAAAATCACCTTTAAAATATTTTATAAAATCGTCCATTACGCTCGCTAATGAGAAAAAACGAAATGACAAATTTGAAGGCCCCCCATTTCTTTGTTTTTGAAAATTAAATATAATGAAAAATCATTTATATTCTTCACTACGAGCTTTAGACAATGATGTGTCACATGCTGGGGTAAAACAATTTAATTTAACATATGAAAAATAATTTAATTTAATTTTTATCTTAATATTCGGCTTTGGGCAAGCATTCTACATAAAGTACCAAAATTTCAGTTCTGTAACTCATTCCATTTCCGTTCTTGAGTCGGCGTGAAATAGAAAGCGTGTCCGTTTTAGATTTATGTTAACAAGAACGTGAAAAATAAAAAAAACATAAAATTCAAATGTGATTTATTCAAAGCGAACTATTTTCCCCCGCCTCTCTCGGCTTATCTCGGCTGTGTAAGAAACTAGAAGCCGTTGAATGATGTTTAAATTAAAACTAGGTCATGTGCCGGTGTACAGAAAATGCTCAAATGTGAAACAACCTTAAGAGCCCTTTCACATTTTTTACAAAAAATCGGAATATTTGAGCGCCTCGTTTACCCCCTTAGCTTAGCTTTTGACTATTTCCAATAGAAGTATACAGTTTATTTATTCTTCCTATTAAGTTCATGTAGAATATTGGCAAATACTATTTTCCTTTTTTTGTACTGATCGTTCTACTGCAGCTAGTTTACGGGAAAAACGATAATATATGCACAACTTCAAACGCCTCAATCTCTCAATAATGTTCAATATATAAGATCAAATTAATTACTACGACATCAGAAATATGTTTTTGTTGTAACATAATGTATTAGAATTTTGATTTTCAATCTCATTAATTATCAAAAAAACCATCTAACCTCCGTGAGTTTTCCCGAAAAATAATGCAGGTTTACCTCGTATATTGATATTGAATTAAATAGAATTACTATCAAAAACTTTCATAAAACTAATCTACCATCATTGAACTACTGAAATATGTATATATTTTTATAATTAGTTCAATAATAATTATTTTATAAGACGCGAAACATCACCCGTAAAATGCAATATATACAAATCTACCTACGCGCCGATCAGACGGCAGCGGCGCAATTTTGTAAAAGGGCTCTTGACAACCGATAAAATACTTCCAATTATTCGCTCCAAAGCAACGTGAAACACATTTATTTATGAGCTCACGGTCTTCCGCACACTTGTCGCGGTATTTCGCATTGATCGACAATCGGTGGTGACATTTTTAGAGTGTCGGCTCTGCCCGCGACAAAGTAAATAATTTTAGATGATCTTGCGATATCTGCGTGATACTGTAGCGTGCATCGACCACAGCGGTAACGCGTGGGCGTTGAGAAGTCTCCCCGATTCCTACACCAGTAGCGATTCGCAATTTCAAAAAACTAGTGGTTTCAGTGTTTTGTAAACATAAAATGTGATATATTGTGATAATAATAATTCAGTTTATCGAAAATGGCAATCATATTCAGTGCAGTGGGTCGTCATAACAATATTCTATCAAAGTTTGCCTCGTGCGATGGCAATTTCACGGAAATCATGCAGCAAGTTTTGTCCAAGATACCATGTTTTAATGATAAAATGACATATTCACATGGTCACTATCTATTCCATTACATAGTAGCAGACGGTTATTGCTATTTTTGTATTACTGACAAAGTGAGTATCATTCATATCTCAATAAA